GACTCGACCCTGGAGGCGGACTTCCAGGCAGAGGATTCGGACTTCCAGGCCGGGAGGGCGGCGGACTCGGAGCCCCAAGCAGAGCGACCAGAGGCAGCGCTCAGCTTGGCAGAGGAGGTCCAGGCGGGGGCTGCCTCGATTTTGGCGGACGATGCCCAGCTAGCGCCGGAGCTCTTGGCGGAGGATCCCCAGGCTGCGGAGCCGCTGCTGGACTCGGACTCCCAGGCGGCGGCGGCGCGGCCGTCCTCCTCCTCGGGGTGGGCAGCGTTCCACTCGAGCGAGCGGGAGATGGCGCGGGGCATCTCGGGGATGTGGGCACCCTTAGCGTGGTATCCGGTCTCATCGGCGACGTACTCCACGGCGAACTTCTCACCGCTGGGGGACACCCACGAGTAGACTCCCTGGACGGCCTCGGCATCCTCGGACTTCATGGCAGCCTGCTCCTGGGCGGCGATACCGTTGGCGGTCTTGTAGCTGAACGCGTAGCTGGTGGGGTCGTTCATCTCGTACTCCTGCTGCAGGATGGGGATGGCGGGCTGCGCGTCCTATAACACGTAAGAATTGAAGGGTTTGAAAATACTGATTCAGCGCATCGATCGTGGGGTGAACTTCATGAAGTACCTTGTGCAGGTGGGCGCCTTCCGACTTCCAGGCAGAGCGACCTGTAGCAACCATCCTGTCGTCGGTGTTCAGGAGGGAGCGACCGGAGTACATCACCTTCTCGTCGGCCCTCATGGCGGAGGGGCCGGCCCACAGGGAGCGGCCGGAGGCCATCATCTTGTCACCGGACATGGCGGAGTCCGCGCGCCAGGCGGCTGCGCGGCCAGAGCCCACCTCGGCGTCGGAGCCCCAGGCGGAGGCAGCGCCCCCCATCTTGGCCTCGGAGCTCCAGAGAGAGCGGCCGCTGGCCATGGGCCTCGCACCGGTGCTCACGAACTTGGTCTCGGTGATGGCCACGGGGGTGCCGGAAAACTCTCGACCCATGCGCGCACCCATGAGCCCCTCCATGTCGGCTGCGGCAGCCGGGCCGACCGCCGCGGCCGCCACGAGTGAGAGGATACACTGTAAAAAAATGTGGTTGTATTATCTTGTGTCGCAGAGGTGCTATGGCTCGGACACCTCAGGAAGACACTCACGAAGGCTCCGATCATGTTGCTTGTTTGTTCGACCACGATGGAGTGACGATTGCCAGGTCGCCGACGAGTGCTTTTATACAGCAGGGGTCCGAATTGTCCCCTGAGCTGTACATGGGCGTGGGTCTGTACAACGGATTCATAAATTAATTGATCAGCGAAACCGCACAAAAACATTCCGCCTGACATCGCCGCCGATTTGGGTCACCGTGAGGTCAGGCGAGCCACAGGCGAGGAGACGGTAGGTGACCCCCTCGCCTCAGTCTCCGGCCGACACTTGGCAGGGTTTCCAACCCTTGGTGACCCCCCCCCCACCCCCTTAAAACCAGTCTGCTTCGCGCTCTCTAAAAACATGTAGTGCCTGCATTCGAACAAGGTACCGTGTGTCAGGGCAACACAGCAGTGCTGCAGGTTTGTCTACCCTAGGGTACATGGCGCCTTACGGATGGAGAGAGTAGGCGAACC